TACGCCGCAGGGCCTGTTTCAGTTTAATTGTCTTCCCATGGGGTTGAACGCCGCCCCTGCTACGTTCCAGAGGTTGATGGAACTCGTGTTGACCGGTCTGCAGTGGGACACATGCTTGATATATTTGGATTATGTTATTGTGTTCAGCCGTACGTTTGAGGAGCATCTTCAGAGATTGGATGCTGTTTTTGCTAGGGTGCGTTCCGCCAATTTGAAATTTAAGCCCAAGAAGTGTCACCTTTTGCAACGATCCGTGCGCTATTTGGGCCACATAGTCAGCTCTGACGGTGTGGCCACGGACCCGGAGAAAACGGCGTGCGTCCGGGACTGGCCGATTCCGGCCACGGTGGGTGACGTGCGTCGTTTTGTCGGGTTCGCTTCTTATTATCGCAGGTTCGTTCCAAATTTTGCCACGATCGCTAGGCCGTTGCACCTCCTTACGGCAAAGAACCAGAGGTTCAGCTGGGGGCCAGCGGAGGAGGCGGCGTTTCATGGCCTACGCGATCGCTTGGCGTCAGCGCCGACGCTGGACTACCCTGATTTCACTCTGCCTTTTATTCTGGATACTGACGCTAGTGACACGGGGATTGGGGCCGTCCTATCGCAGTTGAAGGGTGGCATCGAGCGCGTGGTGGCTTACGGGAGCCGCGTTTTATCTCCGGCGGAGACCCGCTACTGCGTTACCCGCCAGGAACTGTTGGCTATAGTGCATTTTGTCCGTCAATACCGGCCGTATTTGTATGGCCGCAAATTTATTGTGCGCACGGACCACGCGGCTCTAAAATATTCCCTGAAAGTTGACCAACCGTCTGGCCAATTGGCGCGATGGTTGAAAACTTTGCAGGAATTTTCGTTTGAGATTCAATATCGTAAGGGGTCGCGTCACGCAAATGCGGACGCGCTCTTCCGATTGACGCAGGGATCCCCTTGCGCCTGTGCCTCTGGCACGAATAGGTGCACGCGGGTTCCACAGCCCCCGCAGTCCTGTCGTGTCCGCTGTGGAGATGCCCGGGGCTTCCACGTGTCCGGAACCGGCCGACGGGGTTTTGAATTTGCCGCGTTCCGTGTGGATTCGAGAGCAATTGCTCGATGATTCGCTGGGGGCCTTACGGAGTCGGGCTGCAAAGGAGAGGGGATATCCGTCGTCTGATGGGACGCCGGGAGCGGCTCTCCGTGATGGCTTGTTGATGTGGAGGGAAGACTTGCACGATCGCTGGCGTCTTGTTGTGCCGTCGTCGTTGCGATATGAGTTGATTCGGATTCTGCACGCTGAGAAGTTGTTACATCTCGGGGTGCAGAAAACATTGTTGACGTTACAGCGGGATTATTTTTGGCACGGCATGATTACTGATGTCGTCCGGCATGTTCGGGCGTGCTCCGATTGTGCCTGGCGGAAGCCGCCTAAACAACCGTATGTTCCGCCGGTGCAGTCGATACAAGTGTCGTGGGTTAACGAGTTGGTGGCGTTGGATATTCTGGGGCCCTTTCCCCCGTCCGCTCGGGGGAACAAATTTTTCTTGGTCGGGGTTGAATATCTTTCCCATTGGCCGATGGCCTGGCCCCTGCCCGACCAGTCGGTGGCGTCTATCACGGAGGCATTTCTGTTCGGATATGTGATGGACAAGGGGGCGCCGGAAAGGATGCTTACAGACCAAGGGCGAAATTTTTCTTCCAAGCTATTGCAGGATGTGTGCAACGCACTGGGGACTAAGAAGGTTCGGACGTCTCCCTACCATCCACAAACTGATGGGATGGTTGAACGGTTGAACCGGACCTTGTCGGCCATGCTCTGTCATACGGTTAGCGAGAAGCAGGCCGATTGGGATTTGCATATCCCTGGGGTGCTCTCCGCTTACCGGATGGTGCTGCATGCGTCAACAGGGTACTCACCCTTCTTTTTAATGTACAGCTGCGAGAATGTGCCGCCGGCGGAAGTGCAACTTGGCACGCGGGTGAGGGGTCCTGTTAAGCCCCTCCCCGAGTATATTCGTGATGCCGCTCGACGCGTGGCGGAGGCACGGGAGGCGGCCCGATTGGCTATGGCCAGGACCCAGGCCCGGAACGAACGTTGCGCCCGGCGCTCTCATTGTGGGTCCCCATGGCGAGTGGGGGACATGGCCTGGCTCCACTGCCCACAGGTACTGGTGGGGACCTCCCCTAAGTTGCACAAACCCTGGCAGGGGCCGGTTGTGCTTATTGAGGTCCCTAGCCCGCAGTCCGCGCGCGTTCGGGTCGGATCGCGGCATTGGTACGTTCACACGTCCCGATTGAAACCCTACGTGGCCCCGCGAGTGGATGCGTCATCTCCTAACGTTGCCTTGCCGGTGTCTGTCGCGTCCGATGCGCCACTGACTTTGCCTGTTCACCCTGCAAGCGCGCCTGTCATGCCTCCTGTAGACGGGCCGGCTGTGATCCTGCCGGACACAGGGATTCCTGCACCAAGTGGGCCTACCACGGCGACGGGGACACTTGGCCCCGCTGCCCCTCCAACCCCGCCGCGGTTGCAGTTGCAGGGGGCCCCGACTACGGACCTCTCTGGGGAACGGGGTGCTGGGACGAACAGGCCTCCACCAGCGGCGGATGGTTCTGGTTCCGCCGCTCCTAAAACCCTGTCGGGACTGCGACCTTTGAGGGCGCCGCCTCTCGTCAAGGACGGGCCGGTGACCCGCACTCATTCAAGATCCCTTCCCTTTCGTTAATTGTGTTGTTGTTATACTCTCCGTTGTGTCTGGTGATTCCTGATTGTGATGCTGTCGCTCGGATTATTTTGTCCTATTGCAGCCGAGACGGCTGGCTTTTCGGGGGGGGGGGGGGTCATGTAATGCGAGCGTAAATGGGGTTGTTGCTGGGCTCTGGTCCAATCACATGGCCCGGGGTATTGGGGGGCGGAGCCTGGTCTGCGGGGCGTGTGGGAGGGGCCACCGTTCACCTCGGATGCAATGGGAGGCGAGGTGAATGGGGGCGGAGCCAGCGGGGTAGTATGGGAAGGCCGGATCTGAGATCCGGAAGGGGAGGAGTCAGGGTCACGTGGGGGGAATGTATATAAGTGGGAGCCCGGACGAGATCGGGGCAGTCGGGGAAGTTAAGATGCTGAGCCACGTTGGGTGGTTAGGAAAGATCCACGCCATCGGCCACGTGGCCGAAGGACCTCTGCAAGCCACGGCCAGCGGAGTGCGGGAATAGAGGAGCTAACGGAGGAGCGTGCGGGGCATGCGAGAGAGAGCGTGCGTGGTACGCGAGAGAGAGAGAGCGTGCGTGGCACGCGAGAGGGAGCGTGCGCGGGGCGCGCGCGAGATGACACTGGTCCGAGAGGAGGCCAGTGGGGGGTGCGGAGAAGAACCTGAATAAAAGACAAACGGAGACCAGCATCGCCTGGCGGAGTCTTTTATTACAAATACATCATTTTCCCCCCAGAATCAATCCATTTGATGTGCTGAATAAAAGTGGGTGGCTTCCTTTCGATGTTTAATTCTCTTTATGCAAGCCACCCACTTTTATTCAACACATCAAATATGATTCATTCTGGGGGCAAAATAATTTATTTTCTACTTTTGAGTGCAAATAAAAATGTGTGCATTTAAAAACTAGTTTTTTTACCTAAATGTTTTACTTTGTGTGTGAGAGGAAAACGTAATACATTTTTTAAATGTAAAGCTGCATCTCCAGTGAATTGATGGAATCGTAGGAGGTTAATTAAATATAGCAATATTTTTGTTTAGAAATTAAGTACTTAGAAGAATCTAATAAAATAATGAAAGAACAGCAAATTAGTCATCCAGGAAAACCTGGACTGGTTTCGACATTCAGTTTCTCATCAGCAGAGTAGGGTATCTGATGATGCAATGTGTAAATGTTTTTTTTTAACGTGGAGAGACATATGGGAACGTGTATTGTGCTCATTTATTGTATTTTTGATACTCTGAACAAAGACGCGCACTAAATGTGAACAGGACTATTGAAATCGCAAAATACAATAGGGCCACGTATTAGGTGTTACCTGCATTCCTGCACGGGTAGGCGAGGCTCAATGGGTTAGTTACCTGCTTCGCTGAAACTATGCTCACAATTGACTTCCGCTCAAAATAACTGAATGTGTGGCCGTTTTGTGTTTAGACTACCAACTTAAGAGAGTCGATAAAATGTGGCCATCCCAACAGGCAGCCAGTGAAGCAAAGATACAACTGTTGACTACTTCCGTCCGCATTATGACTCATATCAGTAAAGTAAAATCATCGACGTTTACTGCTGCCACGTGCCTCTGGGAGAGGGCTGTAACCTTCACAAGGAGAGGGCTGTAACCTTCACACGATGGAGACCCATTATCACGGCAACGGTCATTCAGGAGCACTGCCTAAAGGCAACGGTCATTCAGGAGCACTGCCTAAAGGGAACGGTCATTTACATCTGTAAATTTACATCTGTAAATGACCAGAAAACCCGCCACGAGGGAAACAGTGCAGGCTGGGGAAAAAAAATGATTTAACCACACGCACAAAGGTAGCATTGTGTGTGTAGAAGCTCTCAGCTTTATTCAAACCACTAGCTCCAAAATAACTGAATATGTGGCCATTTATTAAATATACACCACAAACTCAAAGAGTTGAGAAAATGTTCCCATCCCAATGGCCTGAAACACAACTAATAAAAAACACATTTGTCAATAACGCTGGTGATCTTCTCAAAAGCGTCGCCTATTATGTTCATAATTGAGGCTCAAAATTACTCAATTGGGACGACGCATAGCAATCATCTCCCCCTACTGGCAAGAATAATGCCCCCGTTCAAACTTGCATAACTCCATACTAGACTCTTGTTGTTCTCGCCCTGTAAAACAAAATCAACTTGACACTTTCATTTATTTAGTTTCATTTCAAGGCGGTGTTTTTGACGAATGCGTTGAGTTTTCTCCATCTAAAAAATTAGGACAATCATAATCAGAATCTTTATTTAGATTGGAGGAATCCAATCATGCACGAATGCGTATGCATACCTGCACTCACCTGGGTGAAAGGCAGCGAAGGTGATGAGTACATCACGCAGGACCAGCAGATTGGAAATACCCTCCTTCCTGGAGAATGGCAGAACAAGTTGAGGGAGTAAGAATTAGCGGGGCATCTAACTGCTTGTTAAAAAAGACGGGGAAGAAAAACTGATTGGCCTACAACTAGAGATAGCCTCTTTTATGGTTTTGTCTCACCAGTGCGATAGATCTATGAACACCAAAAAGGTGAATGGTACAAGGACAATGCAAACTCCTAAGCCGTTGAAAATGATGAAACAAAAAAATAAGGGAGACAGCGTGGATTAGCCATCTGGCGGGACTCACTGGAAGTAGGCGAGGTCCCGGTTTGTGCGTGGGACGTCTTTATCGATGATGCGGATCGCTTTCTGCAGCTCCTCCAGATGGAAGGGCTGGCGGTCGGCAAACACCTGGCACATGGGGAGCAGAGGTCACCCTCATTGGTTGAACGTCATCGCCTCTGCAGGAGGTGCCGGTGTCCTGTCGCTTGACACGGTCTCACCATCATCGCTTGCCCTGCTCATCCTCCTCTCCTTGTACGCAAAGGTGGGGTGTGTCTTTTTTTTCTCAAGGTTTAGATACTTTCTTTCACAAGTTTACTAGAATTTTTTTACCGGCAACGTGTCAAGAGATGGAGAAACATGGGAATGCGTACGTGTGTGTGTGTGCATGTGGGAAGCGGTGGCGCAGAAGTCAGCACACTGCGCTACGAACCCAGTGACCTGAGCTCGATTCCCACTCACGGCCAACACCAGTGACAATTATCTAAACCGGTTCTGGGCCTCCTCGAGATCGACTCAGCCTTAATCGAGTGCCTGTGAAAACATCGCCACTGGGGAGCCAAAGGTGGCTGAACTTGGTGCTGGCCACCTACCCCTTTGTGTGCCGTGCCGGCCTTCGTAGGTGCTTGCTAACATCACTTGTCCCTACAGTCTGTTGAGGCCATATAGGGGATCTTTGTATTTGTCTTTGTATGGAATTAACAACACTGTGCCCAGCCAGCATGGTTAATTCACACTGTGGAATAGCTATACCCAGATGAATAGGAATTCTGCCAAACTTGGTGGGGTTATTTTTTGCAGTTATTCGTGAGTGGGCTCAGACAATCAATTTGCTGCACTTGAGAACCCAGTCTAATCACTGATGACTGAAGCACAGAGTTGACCAAGGATTGTAAATGATCACAGCTCAGCGCTCTTGACACGGTAAACGCTCTGTGTGTGGCCATGTCTAGGAGGGGAACGGGGCCTGACGGGATGGGCGCGTTACCCGGGCCTGGATGTCAAGGAACGTGAGCTGCTGCTTCTGCGTTTGCTCGGAGGCAAGCGACGCCGGGCCTGGCGTGTGGGCTTGGGCCTGCCTCTCGCCTGCCTGTTGAGCGGCCACCACCGCCACCAGCCTATCTGTGGAGGTGACATCCAATGTGACCATTGAGGAGAAGGAATGCATTTCACGTGGGATAAACGTTACGCCGCAGTTCAAGTGACTCGGAGATCATAAAATATAAATGTTAGTCGCAGGTTTAAAGGTCGTCAACATAATTTTAAACATCTTTAACAAACCATTAAAATACATGTGATACTACTGTATTACTGTTCACCAAATGTTAAGAAGTTTAGAGGGTCTCAAAACAGATTCTTCAGATGTCATCGAGGTTCAAGATGCTGATTGTTATTCACATCTTGGCTTCAAAGGAAATGTCTGCTGATATTACTTCATATCCATCATCACCAATGTGCAATTATCAGCTATGTGCAATCCACTGCTAGATGGTCTCCCCAAGACGCCGCCATCACCTCTCACAATCACGCGATGTAATAATCCGCCCGTCACATGGACGTAATCTGATGTTTAGCAAAAATACTGCCGTTACTTTCCCATCACTCTTTTCTTTTCAATTAAAAATTACAGGAAAGGATCTCTCCATCAACACAAGGCCCTCAATGTCCACGGATCACCAGACAAACGCTGCACACTCCGCTCAACCCACATGACAAAATATGGCTGGGTGGCGGTGGTGGCTACGTACGTGGCTGCCTGCAATCCAGCACCATGGAGGCAGCAGCGAGGGTTGGTGGATCACCGCACAAGTGTTGTGAAACTCCATTCCCGTGGATATCAAGGAGGAGCAAACCCTTGGCTCACTAGGAGAAGGCAGTACAGCAGAGTGTGGACTAATTTACATCTGTTTCCAACAGTACGGGGATAGAGTGTTGCCCCCCCATGTGCCTGGATTTTTTTACGAGTCCTGTGGTTTCCTCCCACATGCATCAACACTCACTGATTGGTTGAAAACGTCTAAAGAGAAAAACCCAATGCAGTAGGACCCTCGTCAAAAAGAGGTCTTGGACTCAAGTGTGGCTCTCGTCACTAAATAAGTAACTTATCCTTATAGATCAGGGGTGGCCAACCTGTAAAAGACCAAGAGCCAAAAAGTACCCGTGAGTTCTACAAATAGCCAAGTGTATATATGTGTAGTGTCTTGTAAAATCACTCAGACGGACACGTAACAAGTTACCTGCTTTATCTTTATTAATTGCATCAGTTGTAGGCACTCCTAGAACTATCTACACGGTCACTTAGACCTAACTTCTTCCACTCGTCTCTATGTTACACCTCACCTATCCTGCCCTCGGCAGCTCTGCTCCCGGCGACTCCGCACACAGCTTAGTCGCACTCACAGTGTCCTCACACACACAGGCTTCACACACAGTGCCTCAGCACACAGCTTCTCCACACAGAGGGTTCTCACACTCCACCGTTGCCCTCGCCTATGCTCCCTCAGACCCACTTACTCGTCTGTCCTGGGCGGGGGGATCAACCATCACCCGCCCGACGACTCGTGAGGGTTGAGGTCCATTGATGGCTTGAGTGGCATTTATCCGAGAGCTCTCGTGTGTCTCTTTAAGGCTAGCCAGGCTAGCGCCTGTCAGCCCATTAATCAACCCTTATTTCCCGTCTCCCTGGCAACACCTCCGGTGTCAGCGTGCACAACCGGTCGACCCGGTTTTCACCCGCTTAGCCCCTTAATTAGGTGGTGGTTTGTTCGTGCAACCCCATGTTGCACACGCGCACCTGCTTGCCCTCAGTTGCCCTCGGTCAACTGTGTGCACCGCGTATTTCACTACACTATATTTTTCTTCTTATATATAAGAGTCTCTGTACGCGCGTGCTTGCGAGGGATTTGGCTCTCAAACGGTGGGCTTTACGTAGAAAATAATTTGCCAGCCAGCACGCCCTAAGCCCCGCGGTGGGAATAGGCTATTCAGTTTTCCCATCCATAAACTTTGAAGTTGTTAATTAACAAATTTGTGGCATTTAAAATTTTATTTATTTATTGCGGTCCATCAACCGTACCAACTGACGCCAATTGCGTGGGGGGGCGGACCCTGCCAAGTGATGCGCGTTCGGTCGAGCTCACGGGGGACATTTTCTTTTACGCGTTTAACATGCAATAAATACACACATAACACTGTGGCTATTTTTTCACAGTGTGATGTCCTCTTCGGCCCCCCCCCCAACACGATGCGTGCGGTTACTGCTATAAAGTCCGTAGATATTAATATTATTACAGTGCTTAGATAGCATTCTTGTAGTCTTATTGTCGATTTGCGCGTGTAACTACGTGTGTCTCTAAAGTCGATGTCTGTGTGTGAGTCCATATGTGTTTGTGTGCGTGTAAGTCGATGGGTTTCTATGTGTGTGGGTCGATGTCTGCGTGTAAGTCCATGTGTGTGTCTGCCTTTTTCGCCCGAGCAACTCTGGGTACTTACCGCTAGTATGTATACAAGTGTGTATATATTGGCAGTTGTTGGCACAGCATGGAAGACATTCATTATTCTTTGCTACTGTGATTGTATGTTCTACGTTATGCCCCTTCGATAGAGTTGCATGTGGTGGATGAAACAGCCGCTCGGAAGACGCCAGTTGGTCAATCAATGGATGTTATAGATCCATTAATTTTTTTTATATGGCCCCAGTAAACGTGGCACATTGGGCAAACGTCAGCCTACGGCTGGATCTATTGCACCAGCATTAACACAAAGTGGCCCAATGTTAGGTCAACATTGGCCCAACGTTGGGTCATCGTTGGGTCAACTTTGGGTCAACGTTGACCCAACATTGGCCCAACATTTCTCCAGCATTCCACGTATACTACATCGGTGTCACGTGCACCATACGCAAAGGGTGGGTGGCGGGCGACGGTGGCCGTGGGGGGGGGGGGGTGCGGGGGTGCGGGGGTGCATCTCTGACCGTCCATGCCGTCGGGACGCAGGTGCACGTTGCCGGGCAGCAGTTTCTGCCAGCGGTACTTAAGCACGCGGTACTTGACGCGCTGCTCCTCACGGAGGGCGCTGCGCTCGCGCGCCGTGGACGAACAGGAGTACATCCCGAACAGGAACTTCCACGCCTCGCGCCGCACCACTGCCTCCAGCCCGCCTTGCACCACCAGGTAGTGCCGTCGCGGGACAAGGGAAGGGATGGTGTGGGGGGGGGGGGTGTGCAGGAGAATTAGCACCTGCAATTAGTACAGTTGGCTATGTACGGTGCGAAAGAAGGTCAACGTACAATCATTTTTGGGGTGGTTAGAAAGGTGGGGAAGAATTCGTGGTCGGTGTTGTGTCAGGCTGACGAGAAGCCTATAAGCAGCAGGCCTTGTGGCAGTGCTGCTGCTATTAACTCAAAGCACATAGCTCATCCACTCAACATGCAACGTTGGTCAAAAGTTGTTCCACGTTTACTGCGAGGCTCAGGTGAGGTCTAGTATCGCTTAGATCAATAATTTAATGAACCAGACTAAATGCGGTATTAATTTCCCGCACCTCCGATTAGCAGTTGACTACGTCCGGTGTGAAAGAATACATCCCACTGTTGTGGTGTGCGTGCAGTACATGTATGCTACCAGCCCCCTTCTCAATCCACTGCTAGATGACGGCCTCCACCACGTCGCATACAGGTCGTGTGGGAGTTATTTGACCGCCCTTCACCGCCCTGGCTGCTCAGTGCTAGTTTTGGTGAAGGTTGGGGAACGTAGATGTGCAGTGCAATGATGGGTTTTTGTTTGCACTGTCTGATACTGATGGACTGGAGCCCAGAGCACCTGTCATGCACATCTCCAAACTGGAAGTCAGAGTGATCGCAATTGGAATGTTGCGGTCAATTCCTGGTCGGGGTGGTTGTTGACTCGGCCCATCATCCTTCTGTGGTCGATAAAAACGAGTACCGCTTTGTCGGGACGTTAACGGTGATTGTCCTGCAGATAGATCGACCTACGTCAAAGCAATGAGGCATTGTCCCACCGACAGATTTTCATGGCCTGTAAACGGGAGATGAGCATCAATGGACCAATGCTCTTTGAGCCACGGGAAATCACGTTCACCTTTTGACCAATCTAAGTAGTACACCCAGGCGGGTCAACTTGTAGGATAAGCTTGCCGAGACGTGAGTAGCCTGGGCGCATTACGGCTGGGTGGTTCACAGGCAGTGTGTGTGCGTGAAGTACAGTCTTCAATTCCTTTGCTGGCGGAATGAATGCATTGCGTACATTTCTGACACTTGAGGAATGTGACTGGGCCACTTTGGACGCAAGCCAAGGCCTTCAGATGCACAATATGCCATTCTCCCCTCCCGTTATAATTATAATATAATTGGCGACGCTGCACGGACATCAGTGCAGTGCCGACGGATTAAGAAAATGTCCTCGGGGAGAGAGCGGTTCATGTTCAAATATCTCTAACCAGTGACATGGCTGGTGTTGCAGGGGACACGGGAGTGCGGAGGGAAGAGCGCTTGGGTACAGCGAGTGCCGATTTATCCTAGTAGCAAAAGTAGCAAATTCTCCGGGTCCCGCATTTTCAAGGGCCCCGCGCGAAATGCTTTTGTGTACTTACCTGCGTAGCAGTATTGTATGAGTCACGTACACTCAGCTCTAGTGGCGCCCTCAGTGTGTAGCGGGCGCAGAAAAGCCAAGGGGGCTGTTGAGTGACAGGTGTACGACCCATGACTATAATAACTGTTGACCCGAGGTGAGGGGGCCAGAGCCCACTGAGGGAGGAGGCTGGGGGGGGGGGGCAACGGTCAGACCCAGACCCTCTCGAGAGGAGGTTGGGAGAGAGGAGTATATAAAGGGCAGCTCTCCCAGCGTGAGTCAGTCCGCACTCACCTCAAGACCTGAATACATCTAGATAGCGCCCTGGGACTTCCGACCCCCGGCCCTTGTCAGGGTCAGGGCCAGGTCCGAACGGCCAAGTGGCGGCACCCGTTACCCTGGCAAGGTCGGGTACGCATAACCTCCCCTAGGTCCCTTAGCGGAGGAATTCCCGATCGCAGAATATAGTGTGAGGGCACACTAAGTGTGAGGGCACACTAAGTGTGAGGACGTATCCTCTAGGCCAGGGGTCCTCAAACTTTTTAAACAGGGGGCCAGTTCACTGTCCCTCAGACCGTTGGAGGGCCGGACTATAGTTAAAAAAACTATGAACAAATTCCTATGCACACTGCATATATCTTATTTTGAAGTGAAGAAACAAAACGGGAACAAATACAATATTTAAAATGAAGAACAGTAAAGTTAAATCAACAAACTTGCCAGTATTTCAATGGGAACTATGGGCCTGCTTTTGGCTAATGAGATGGTCAATGTCCGGTTCCATATTTGTCACTGCTAGTCGTAACAAGTGATGCAAGTGTGCATCCGTTAGTCTAGATCTGGTTGGAAATTTCAAATGTTTCATTCTGGAAAAAGTTTGTTCACAGACATAAGCGCTGCCAAAGATAGTTGCCATTTTGAGTGCATGGTTCCTGAGATGAGGATACGTCTCAGAGGGGAGAAATGCATAGAAATTATGAAGGCTGCTTGACTTGAATGCGTCTTTCAGAGAGTCACAATTCTGCAGTTCAGCCAGTTCCATTTGGTAAATTGTATCCACATTTTCAATGTCAATAGAAAATGGGTTACGGAAAAGCTGTATGTCCTGTTCATGGAGATGAAGCTCTTTAAATCTAAATTGGAACTACTTTTGCAATTTTTCCAGTGAATCCACACATGTTTTGTTTGGGAATGCAGCCAATGTTTTTTCCGCTAACAGATTTTGAGTTCTGGGGAGATGGCAGAAGTTTTCCTCCTTCACTTGTTTGATGAGGAGGCCTAATTTTACATCAAATGCTTTGACATGTGATTGCATATCACAGATGAGCTTCCCCTTTCCTTGAAGTTGCACATTGAAACTGTTGAGTAGCTCTGTTACATCTGTCAGAAAGGCAAGGTGCCATTTCCATTCTGCATCATTGAGCTCTGGTACTTCTTTGTTTTTTGAAAACAGAAAAGCTGTAATCTGTGGAAGTAAGTCATAGAAACGTTTCAAAACTCTCCCTCGACTCAGCCAACGGACTTCTGTGTGGTACAGAACATCTTCATAGTCAACATTTAGCTCAGACAGAAATTCCTGAAATTGTCTGTGGATTAGTGCATGAGCTCTAATGAAGTTAACAGAGTCCCACTTCAGTGATTTACTACACAGCGCTTGTTGGTGGATGAGGCAGTGTATGGCTATTGGATGAGAATGGTTATGTTTGTCCATCTCTTGGTTAATGCGAGCAATTACTCCTTTCTTAGACCCCACCATGCTAGGAGCACCATCAGTTGTCACACTGACTAGTTTAGCCCAGTTCAGCTCCAAACCATTCACAGTTTGGCAAACCTTTTCATAGATATCCTCTCCTGTAGTTGTTCCTTTGATGCTTTGCAGTGCAGCAAGCTCTTCTGTGACTTCGAAATAGTCATTCGTCCCACGAATAAAAATTAGAAGTTGTGCAGAATCACGAACATCATTGCTTTCGTCGAGTGCCAAGGAAAAATAGGAAAGTTTTTTTGTGGAGTTTTGCAAATGCTGATGCTAAATTGTCTCCCATTTCTTCAATCCTCCGTGTAATTGTAGGTCCTGAAAGACTCACTGTACTAAATAAATCGGCCTTCTCTGGACACATCTCTTTGGCAACAGAAAGAAGTCATTCTTTAACAAATTCTCCCTCAACGAATGGTCTGCCAGTGCACACTATTAGCTTGGCAACTTGAAAACTTGCTCGCAGTGATGAAATATTTAGCTGCTTCTGCTTCACAAAAGTATTTTGCTGAGTTGTTAATGTATTTTTCAGTTTTAATATTTTATCTTTTCTCACTTCTCCGACCAAACAATCATATTTATCTTTATGTTGAGTTTCACAGACACTATATTCTGGCATATCAGACACACAGCTCTTTCCTTGTACTGCATGAAAAAGTAATCATAAGTCCACTGTTTTTTGAATATCCTACATTGCAAGTAAATTTTTCTCTTTCTTGACATCATTGTTTCCTAGGGAGTCAAAATTGCTATTAGTAAAATACCAATATATATACAGCGCTACAAAAACAATATACCAGCAATAACTTTGCCCACACAGAGACATACAGACTGCACTGCCCATCAATGCAGTCTGATTGGGGGAACTCCGCTTTTACCCCAGGCTCACACTGGTGCGGGTGCCATTAAAAAGTTAATTACACCTGCAGTTTTGTTCACAGATCGCAGTGCGATCTGCGAACTCGCATAGGAATCTGATCGCATGGGGGAGAAGACCCATGCGATCCGATTCCACTGCAGGAAAAAAGAAGACACATGTGCCTTTTTTCTTCCGAATCTAATGCAAGTTCAGCCATACAAGCACATGGCTGAACTCGCACTGCTCAGAGATCGCAACAGTATGAACCGGGACTTACACAACATACAACATATAACCTCATATAATTGAATAGCAATCAGAATATAAATGCACTTACTGTCATTTAAATTGGGTTTCCTACTCCTCGGCTGTCTGTCACTGACCAGCACGGGAAAACAGCAGGCAGCCCCTCCAGAGATCAGAGATCACTCTGTTATTACCCCTTTATCATTTACTCAGCACACGGGAATATCACTGGAAGTGGAGGGAGGGAGAGCCAGTCAAGCGCAGCCAGGGGAGGGCTGGCAGCCTTACGCCTGGGGGGCAAGTCCAGTCAATTGGCCCATTGAACCATTCACCAGCGCAGCCCAATCAGTGCCCACCGCGCAGCTCAATCAGTGCTCACCAGCGCAGCCAAATCAGTGCTCGCCACCGCAGCCCAATCAGTGCCCACCACCGCAGCCCAATGAGTGCTCACCAGCGCAGCCCAATTAGTGCTCACCAGCGCAGCCCAATTAGTGCTCACAAGCGCAGCCCAATTAGTGACCATGGGCCGGATAAATGCCCTCGGTGGGCCGCATGTGGCCCGCGGGCCGTAGTTTGAGGACCCCTGCTCTAGGCTATCGGGTGGGAGAGGCCGTTACCTCTTCGTGTTAGGGACGTTCCTAGTCGTTAGAGCGAATAAACGGTGTTGCCTACAAAGGGAAGTCTCTGCCTACTTTGTCAACACTACACTTTCAAGCTATCCATTCCGGTTTAGTGATTCTGCACTTACTCTATTACTATAGTACTATACTGCCTTCAACTTTTATGAACGACTGGGTGTCTAAGGTTAGCGATTTGTCGTATAATCTGGCTGTATAGCAAATGAAAAAATACAATTACTTTACTATGCAAGTTAAAATGTGTTTTTATATTTGTTTTTTTATATTTCGGGCCCCTTTATAACATATGCTACAGGCCCCGCACTAGCTTAATCTGGCACTGGATACATTAATCCACTGTACTCTACTGTACTGCTGCAGGAATGGTCCACGAGGACAGTAAATAATTCTGAGGGCCAGGACAGCAAATTGTATGTACAGTATGTTGAACTTTTATCGCACCCTACGTAGCCAACTGTGCTCATGGAGGTGCGGGAAAAATTAATACCGCATTTGGTCTGGCTCATTAAATTATTGATCTAAGCGACGTCGGACCTCACCCGAACCTCTCAGTAAACGTGAAACTTTGGCCCAACGTGTTGAGTGGCCGAGCCGCGTGCTTTGAGTTAACAGCAGCAGCAGCACCACAAGGTGTGCTGCTTTACAGGCTTCTCGTGAGCCTGACACAACACCGACCAAGAATTCCTCCCTACCTTTCTAACCATCTCACAAATTCTTGTGTGTGCACTTTGAACTTCATGGGACCTCATTTGCCAGTACGAAAATATGAGAATATGTTTTCCCCTTTTTTCTGGCAACAAAACAGGTGTTAAGATGTTAAAACACCAAACTGAAACATACTCTTTGGTTCTTCCGGTTAAGTCACGTAGGTAGAAAAATAAACCTTTACGAGGAATCATGTCTGCATTAACCACAATACTTGTGGTCAGAATGCAAACAAAAAACGTACTCTGATAATATATGCATTGTCTTTAAAACTGATTGGTCCACACCAGAGTCAGCTTTCTTTTGAGCCTCGTCTCAAAGCGGTGTTCGACCAGGAGGTCCCATGATGTACAGTAGATGTTCACCCCGAGCCCTCATTACTCTGATAATGCTTGTCTTTGTGCTGTATGCCTTTTGGCGTCCTTTGGTCTAACACCGTTTTGAGACTAGGCTCAAAAGAAAGCTGTCTCTTGTGTGGACCAATCCGTTTCAAAGACAATGTATATATTATTAGAGTACGTTTTTTGTTTGCATTCTGACCACAAGTATTGTGGTTAATGCAGACATGATTCCTTGTAAAAAGTTAATTTTTCTACCTTGCGTGACTTTACCGAAAGAACCAAAGAGTATGTTTCAGTTTGGTGTTTTAACATCTTAAGACCTGTTTTGTTGCCAGAAAAAAGAGTAAAACCTATTCTCACAATTTTAACTTATTTCGCACCGTACGTGGCCAACCACGCTAATCCGAGGTGCGGGGGAAGGACAACAAACTAGACACAAGCAGTTCTAAAGAAATTATATCTATGGGCCCATTTTTCCAGTATCCAAAATAAAAAAGGCCGTTTCTGGTGTAGGCCAATCAATTTCAAAGACAATGCAAATATTATCAGAAGATGTTTCTTTGCATGTGTTTCCACAAGTACGTGTGGTTAATGCAGACTTCATGCCTTGCAAAAGGTATCTATTTGGTGTTTGAACATCTTAACACATCCTGTTTTATTGTCAGAAAGGGTAAAACATGTTATTTTTTATCACATTAGTTTTCAATCGAGATTTCAAAGTGCATAGCTCTAGTGGCTTCCTAATATTGGAAAGAAGAGCGTTCCAGATGGCTGCAGAAGCGCATTTGAAAGCGCGAGATGCGGTGACTGTCTTTGTTCAATGAGACTCGGCGTACCTTTGAAAATGAGTTTTCTGAAGAGGGACTCGTCCACCAGACGTCCGTCCTCGTCAAACAAGGAGGAAAACTGAGCAGTGCTCACGGCCAGGAGACGGTCACCTCCTTCATCTCCTCCATCGGTGTGTCCACCACGGTCACAACTACCTCCTCCAGCAACGCCGCCCCCATCGTGATGTACACCACCGTTATTAGTAGCAGCATCAACAGCAGCCCCACTACCATCGCCAGTCTCACCGTTGAGACCATCAGCAACCAAACAACGAGCGTTGTCTCCAGGTGTCCCACGGTAATCAACATCTCCACTGACACCACCGTCTTCACCGCGTTCATCTATGCCACCATTATTATTTACACAGACCCCATCACCATCATCATCACCACTGCCCTCACCACAACCAACACGACCATCGCCGTCAGCATCTCCACCGCCAACGCCATCACGGCCTGCAGACACGTGGTCTTCATCAATGCCATTGACTCCACCGCTACCCGACTTGTCGATCATCACGAACGTGCTGCCCCTCATCTCCTCTTCCACCTCATCAGTTTTGCTGACCGCCCCGTCACGGGCTGAAGCGTTGCCCATGGGTATCTTATCCCATTAAAATCCCGACCGTGACATCAGCAAGCAGAAGAACAGCAATAAGGCTTTCTTTCGGCTCTAAGAAGTCCCGAGCAGAGCTGAGAAAAACATCTGAGACTACATCTCCATCCTCATACGCACGCAGTGGAGCCGTGATTGGTTTTGCGGTGTCAGCTGCGTATGCGGGCGCCCACAGGCGTTGTCGCAACGCTGCCTACCAATTCCTTGCATCTTCCCTGCCTCATCTCAACATCTCCCGATCTATCGTCATCTTTTGGACGGGAGATCACTCCTCTAAACCTGCACCCCCCAGCCCTGCGCCAGAATGTTGTGAATCCGCTTCGCTTCCTTGTCTGCGTCGCGAGAGAGCAGAGACGGCGAAGTTCGCGTCGATCCCAACCTGGGGCGGGGGTCGGCGACGCTGCGCGGGTATCACGAGTGCACACAGCCATAAATAACAACGTGGCCAAGCCGCCCCAGCCAGTCCACTAAGTGTGCCTCTGGCTAATAGATCCGTGCGGCAGCGACTGCAATGGGATCGGTGCCGAGCTGTGTAGAGGAAATGCAACGACGGTGCTAATCGTTTAAATGACTACTGCATATATTATCAGAGCATGTTTGTTTGCATGTTTGTTTGCATGTTCACCACAAAAACATGTGGTTAATGCAGACTTGATTCCTTGCAAAAGGTATGTATTTGGTGTTTGAAAATCTTTACACCTGTTTTATTGCCAGAAAGGGTAAAATATATTTTTCTCTCAGTATGTTTGCACTCTCCCCGCCACCCCCCCCCCCTCCCCACTGTGTTACACGTTTTTACGTCCCTATTCGACGAAATGACAAAATGTCCAGTGGACATCTGCGGGGCTATGCTCATGGATCGTAATAATGATCATAATTAGACTAAATAGAGAGCGTGCTTGTACCCTTTGGTTATTATACCTACGTGACTTTACCGAAAGAACCAAAGAGTATGGATCCCTGCAGTCACGAAAACTTCAAATCTAGATCGTGCTTGTACCTTTAACCTAAATCTAAATCTTTTTTTCTGGCGCCTTTTACTGTCACACTATGTTTGCACTATTTTTTTAATGTGTGTTTTATATTTACGACTGTAAAATACCGCGTTTGTCAGTTGTGCAATATGCTTTAAGGACCCTGTGTGCACGCGTTCTCTGCGATGTGAATGTACCATATTTGTTTGTTTGTGTTGTTGTTGCTGTGCTCACGACACCACGGATCTCCCGTGTAAAGTAGCCGGGCAACTGGCTTAACGGGTCCACTATCCGTGTAACAAATCAAATACTGTAAATACAAACTCTGGTGTGCCATTAAGAAGGGGCATTTCCCGAAATGTCGCCTATACAGGAAACAGTTATAATTGTAAGGTCATAGTATTATTGACGGATGTTGTGAGTGTGTTTGTGTGTGTAACCGTGCTTTTGCACCACTGCCAACGCAGCAGCGTCGTCACCAAATACTGATGTGTTTATGACGTTGCCCGTCCTAAGTACCTACAAATACCCAGCGCCTGCTCATGGCTCTTGACTGACGTTGCTTGGCTTGTGAGGAGCGGTGGCGCAACGGGAAGTGCGCGGCGCTACGGCTAACACCAGTGACGATTATTTGAACCGGTCCTGGGCCTCTCCTAGGTCAACTCAGCCACAAATGAGTACCGTACCTGGTAGGATGTGTAAACATCGCAACTAGGGAGATAAAGGCGACCGGGAGTGGTGCAGGCCACCCACCCCTTCGTATGCGGTACCGACCTTCATCGGTGCTCTCTAACACCGTGTTCTTTCATTACAAAGCCCGTGGGTCACTGGCGGCCCCTGGTGGCCTTTTTGTGCGGCATCTGACCATGCACAACATGAAAACAACCCTTGAAGGCGGTGTGGCGGGCCCTCACACTTATGTCTTATCGGCGAAAGTGATCCCCCTCTGGAAATGAGTGAACAACACTCCTCTAACAATACTTGCCCCAACAGTCTGTTCAGGTTATACGGGGATCGTTATCTTTAAGTTTGATTCCCGGCCAGTTTTCGTTAGGGGCCGTCCATAAATGACGTCACACACCTAGGGGGGGAGGGGGGTCAGACATTTGTGACGATGTGTGACGAGGGGGGGGGTGAGAAATGTGACGTCACATAAAAATGCCCAACTTTAAATAAATATAGACAACACGTTTTACTTAATTAAATAGACGTTTTAATTATTGTTTTCTCCTACAACATCAGAGTGAACCGGATAGTAACATCTCATCCTGTGTTCTTTGGAATCTCAGAGTGAACCGCCACATTAAATACGCACTACAACGACAATAGTTTAAAGCGATTTGAAGCATGTTTTATTTTTTGGGGGGGAGGGCATAGCTTTGTGTCGTCATATTTGAGGAGAGGTCTGACTTTTTGTGACGCCGCGTGACGAGGGGGGGTCAAAAATCGTCCAAAATCGCGTGACGTCATTTATGGACGGCCCCTTATCTGTTAAAATATTTCAACTTGGTAATCCCTTAACAACGGAACATCACGTTTCGAAGGGTGTCCAGGATGTAAAATGACACGTCTATAACCACATTGTGCATCCACGGCTAACGTCAGTGGTGACTGATTATTGTAAACCGATTCTAGACCCCCCCTATCCCACTCCATCAACGCGCACTGACCATCGTGGTGAAGTATGGTCAAACAATTCCAATAGCCGACATGGCGTCCTTCTAGCAGAATTTGCTTGTACAGTATTGTATAGAACCAGTGTTGCTGATACTGTATAAGATGCACTCCCAGAAGGCAGAGTGGCCGAAGGCATCTGTAACAATGTTTAGTTTTATGTGGAGATACAAATATGGCAATGAGATAATATTCATTTTGTTACGCGCATATAATATGGCCATTTGTATATCCACTGCCGGTCGTGTGAGGGTTATATGTCCATACTTCACCACTTTGGCCAGTAAGGGTTGGTGGATTGGGGAACAGACGTGAGTGCGCGCTACTATCGCGGTAGCGTACTGCTCAGTCCTGCTTAGCCACTGCTATCTGACTCGGTTTGGTCATAGGCCATATCAAAATCAGAATTTTTCCTGAAGAAATCCGATGAGATATGAAGCTATTTTTCTCACTTTCAGTTGGAGCGGGTCAGAAGGTTACAACAACAACAACAAACAATACACGCAAACGATATAGTATAAAGTAAAGTAAATGCGAGCAAATCACGAAAATTTGACATTTTTATAGAATACTAGCTGTACTACCCGGCTTCGCCCGGGACTTGTATCTACCACGGCCGGCCGCCTTTGTCTCCCCAGTGGCGATGTTAATACGCTACAGCAGTTACTCGTTTGAGGCAGAGTCGACCTAGGGGAGGTTCAAATAATCGTCACCGGTGGTGGCCGTGAGCGGGAATCGAACTGGGTTTGCCGTGTTGGTAGCGCAGCGTAGCGTTAAGCACTACACCCACCGCTCCTCGCACACACACAGACACACACACAGACACACGCAGACACACACAGACAGACACACACACACAGACACAGACAGCATGCTAAGCACTACACTACCGTTCCCCCTACACAACACACGCGCGCGCGTCCATAGGTACACATACACGCGCTTGCTGCAGACACACACGACTTACAGGGTGCGTAAGGCAGTAAACGACTGAAAAAATAAAGCGGCAATGCTGTGCGAGGAACGCCTTAGACCAGCAACACATTTGTGTAATGCGAGCGTAAACACACAAACACATACAAACACATACACACACATACACACAAACACATACACACACATACACACACATACATACACACAGACATATACATACACACAAACACACACATACATGCACACAAACACATACACAATACACACACACATACATGCAGACACAGACAGACACATAACACACATACATATACACACATACATACACAAAAACACATACACACACATACATAGACACACACATACATACACACAAACACATGCACACACGTACATACACACATACATAGAGACACGCAGACATACACATAAAGACATAAAAAAAACCCACATACATACACACACACATACACACAAACACATACATACACATACATACACACATACATAGAGACACACAGACATACACATAAACACAAACACACATACACATGACCCGGCTTCGCCCGGGACTTGGATCCACGATGCCCCGCCGCCTTTGTCTCCCCAGTGACGATGTTCACACACGACAGCAGTTACGCTTTTGAGGCTGAGTGGACCTAGGGGAGGGCCAGGTCCGTTTCAAATAATCGTCAGCGGTGGTGGGCGTGAGTTGGAATCGAACTGGGGTCGCTCAAGCAGCTTAATGACTGTTTGTACAAAGAACATATAAAGAATCGATTATAATAACCAGGCTACAGTCCACATTATAGACTGCCAGTACACGCAGTCAGCTTCATAAGCAGGCTAGAGTGTACATGATAGAGTGGCAGTACGCTCACCGAGCTTAATAAGCAGGCTACAGTGTACATGATAGACTGGCAGTACGCTCAGCCAGCTTAATGAGTATTTGTACAGTGAACATTAAAGTAATCGATTGTTGGCGCGTTGGGTTTAAAAGTAATATTAATAGCACACATTGTGGTGGGGGTGTAGTGAAGAGTAGGAAAAACTTTGATGAATTTACCTCAGAGTGGCGTGGTGGGTGTCGAGGCCTAGTAGCGTGCAAAGCCTGCGGCCTCGCCTAAAATTGTCGGCTTGGAAGAGGCAGGGTACGGGTGGCGTTCCTTCCCCCCCCCCCCTAGCGCTCCAACAATACTGTGTAATGGCTATTATTTAATTAAATACGGAGCTTATGAAAGTGGCGAAGGCGTGGCTAGCCGTTGGCAGGGGCAACCGCCGTCCAATGAAACTGCAGCCCTTGGCGAAGGCGTGGCTAGCCGTTGCCAGGTCCAATGAAAGCGGCGAAGGCGTGGCTAGCCGTTGCCAGGGGCAACCGCCGTCCAATGAAAGTGCGTATGGGCCGAAATACACACACACACACACAGACAGACAGACATGAACGATTTTATATATATAGACTAGCTGTACTACCCGGCTTCGCCCGGGACTTGTATCTACCACGGCCGGCCGCCTTTGTCTCCCCAGTGGCGATGTTAATACGCTACAGCAGTTACTCGTTTGAGGCAGAGTCGACCTAGGGGAGGTTCAAATAATCGTCACCGGTGGTGGCCGTGAGCGGGAATCGAACTGGGTTTGCCGTGTTGGTAGCGCAGCGTAGCGTTAAGCACTACACCCACCGCTCCTCACACACCACACACGCACACACACAGACACACACACAGACACACACACAGACACACACACACAGACACAGGCAGCACGCTAAGC